AAATTTTTTAAAGATTTTATTTATTTATTTATTTGAGAGAGAGAGAGAAACAGCATGAGAGGGGAGAGGGTCAGAGGGAGAAGCAGGCTCCCCACTGAGCAGGGAGCCCGACACGGGACTCGATCCCAGGACTCCGGGATCATGACCTGAGCTGAAGGCAGTCACTTAACCAACTGAGACACCCAGGCACCCTCAAAAAAATTTTTTTAAAGTGGATCAGGAACTTAGGGAGCATGTGCATATCTCTAAACTAATGAGGATAAAGAGTGCTATATTCATGACTGTCTTTCTGGAAATTATTTAATAAATTTTAAATAAAATGTACTTTGATGCAAGTACATATTATAATATATATATAATAATATACATATATAATATATATAATAATATATATATAATAATATAATAACTAATATATTAAGAGTTGTTCTAGGTGACTAGAACTGGATTATCTGCTTTAATTTTGTGTTACCTCTTAATTAGAGTAAATGAAATAAACATTTAGAATGGAATCTACCTACTAGAATTGCATTTTCTTTGATTCATATACTAATGTTGCATTTATAGTACATAACTGTTTAATTGTATAGGCGAAAATACATGGGAACTGAATTCTAAATCCTGCAGTATACTTAATGAAATATGGTTATTATTATTCATATAGCTATGAAGTAAGCTTTTTTTCTGGTTATAATTCCTTTTTTTAAAAAAGATTTTATCTTTTTATTTGACAGAGAGAGACACAGGGAGAGAGGGAACACAAGCAGGCAGAGAGGCAGAGGGAGAAGCAGGCTTCCCGTGGAGCAGGGAGCCTGATAAGGGACTCGATCCCAGGATCCTGGGATCATGACCTGAGCCAAAGACATATGCTTAACCGACTGAGCCACCCAAGTGCCCCTCTGGCTGTAATTCCTTTTTAGAGTTTTATCTGTAGCCAGATGTAACATAATAAGTTGATTAATGGATGTTCATGCAAATATAGAAGTAAATTTCTGTTGATCCATTCGTAAAAATAGAAGTAGAATCTATCAGATTATGAAATTCAATAATGGAATCCTAGGTATTCTTATACAGACAAAATTTAATATTTACAATGTTTAAACTATATATACAGTTTGTAAGATTTCTTTAAAAGTTCAAAAGTTAAAAAAAAGAAAAAATTCAGAAGTTAAAATCCAATGATTTTATGTGATTCCACAGCTACATAGTTTTCCTTTAAACTATTGGGAATTAGATGATTTTATTATAGCGATTAATTATCAGTGAACCACTTAATGTATACTCAGACCTTCAAAAAATAAAAAATGGCTATTTGAAAAAAGTATAAATCTAATGAAATAGCATTTGGGTTACATGATATTTTAGTTAATTCATCAGTGATAAGGCAATTGAGCATTTGAAGGGAAAATGAGAATGAGAAGCTCTTAATCTTCTCTGTATCCAATCTAGCACTCTGACCTATTCATTACCTCTTTCACACACAGCCCTTCAGAAATGTGACAGAAAGATTCTGGGACATGTTAATTTTGTTTATTTAATATGCAGATTATATTAATTGCAAATGAGAACATTGTTGATCTCCTTTATCTAGGACATTTATATCTTAATCATACCTCCTCCCACTGAACTGGATTGCAAAATACCACTGAAATACAAATCTTCATACCAGTCAGTCATACAGGAAGCTAAGTAAAGAACACTGGCTGCTTATTGAAAGTAACTGCATTTTAAAAATACATATTTATGTATTTAATTATTTATTTTGCCAGAAACTACATAGGAATAGCACATTCTGTTTGGTATCTGTGATATATACATCAACAAATACACAAAATACTTGTCAGGAGAGTGTTTCCTTAGCAGTTTATGAATTTTTTCAGTCACTAACACCAAGAGAATTGACATGGAAGGTATAGATCCAGTATAGATCCAGTCAGCTGGATGTGTTATATAGAAGGGGAAGTGATAAGCACTTTCTAGTAATTTAGCATTTTCTTTTCAATTTCTCTTATGTCAATATTTTAAAAGAGGATTCCTGGGTCATACTTGAGGAAAAAAATAAATGCCTTGCCTATTACCTGATCTGAAGTTCAGAAATTTAATGAGAAAGTCTTGCTGTTCTCTTTACTATTAGATGACATGTGTTATTATTTTTCTGCAGCCTCAGGGGACAGAATAAAACCTCAGACCAGGGATTCTTTATTTGATTCTGGGAAGTTATTATGGTTGTTCCTAATTGTTGTGTGTCAAATGTTGATTTATGTCCTCTTTATCCTCAGGAAATACTTGGCAAGTTGTGAATCTGGAGTTCACTGTGACTCATTCATAGTTCAAATTTTCCAAGTCAACCAAAATTCTAAATAACTGTCATGCAAAGGCCTTTTGGAAATATGAAAGCAGAAGAGAAACCTCTGCTCTTTAGGAGCTTACAATTTTAGAGAAAAATTTTACACACATAAGCAAAAAATAAATTAACATGTAATCAATGGCTGAATAGAGTAATAGAATAATGTAAAATAATAATATAAAATACAGGTAGAAAGAAGAATGTTAATAATACACCAGGATGTTTATATATAGTGATCACAGGCAGTATTTCTATAGTTTGCATACCTTTGTCTATGGTAACCATGTTAATAGTGTTTTTCTCATTTTTTTTTTTTTTTAATGAGAGACAGAGAGCATGAGAGGGAGGAGGGTCAGAGGGAGAAGCAGACTCCCTGCCGAGCAGGGAGCCTGATGCGGGACTTGATCCCGGGACTCCAGGATCATGACTTGAGCCGAAGGCAGTCGCTTAACCAACTGAGCCACCCAGGCGCCCCTCTCATATTTTTACAATGATTAAATTTTAAAAATATTGAGAGTAATGTGATGAACTTTTTATATTTTTATTATTATTCATTAATGGACTTTATATAATATTGCCCAAATTTATAGAGCTAATTTTGTACACTCATACACAAAAATGTTTGTGGAAATATTTTGTTTATCTTTTTGCAGTGACTTTAGGCTGTTCTCTTTCACACTCACTGTGTTTAATCCACACTGGTTTTTTTCAGTATTTGAATTTGCCAAACTTCAACTCACCCAACATGTGCTGCTTCCTCAGCCTGATTAACACATCTAACTACCTAATTAGATAATCCTTCAGGTCTTGGTTTAAATGTCCTCAGGGGAACCTTTCCTAATCCCCTACACTAGATAAAATTTTCATGTTACATGCATAGAAGAGCACCTTGCATTTCCCTTAGCAGTTTTCATTATGGCAATTATATATATATTCCTATATTTCTTAATGTCTGCATTTCCCCCAGGCTGTAAACTCTATGAATATATCTGGTTAACCATTCTACCCCCAACCAGTAAAAATTATCAATAACTATTTTTTGAATGAATATATAAATATTAAAATTCTTTACCAAGGAAAATCCTGCAGGCCTGGTTTCAAAGAATTGCTAGAAATATTTGTAATTAACATATCAAATATTTGTAATGAATGTTTCCACACTGCATAAAATATAGACAACCTTTGGGTTATAGAATATTCTTTTTAAGTATTTTTGTATGCATGTAATACAAAAGTGTCTGAACTATCAAAACTATATCAAAGTTATAATAGGGCTTGAATTGAATCTTTAAGTGTGGGGGGAAAAAAAACCCCTTTCTATATTCTTGGAAGATAGTTAAGGCTGTGGAATTAACATTTAAAAATGTATATTAGTTTAGGTGTTTTCAACAAAAATTAATTAAAAACCCAGCCTCAAACTGGCTTACACAAGAAGAAAAATTATTTAATATAACAGTATTTCTAAAAGCAGGACTGGTCTTTGTCCTATTTGATAGAGCAGCTCAACTGCATTACATGAGAGCCGGGTTCTTTCTTTCTCTCCCCTATGCTGTTTTTAGTGAATCAGCTTTATCCCCAGGTTGCTTTTTCTCAGAGTTGCAAGGTGGCTGTAGCAATCCCATGTGTCATATTGATACATAATGTCCAGAGGAAAAGAAAAGGAGCCATTTCTTAGTTTGACTCATTTTATTTTTTGAAAGATTTTATTTATTTATTTGAGAGAGAGAGAGTGTGTGAACAAGAGGAGGGCAGAGGGGGGAGAGAGAAGCAGACTCCCTGCTGAGCAGGGCCCGATGTAGGGCTCGATCCCAGGACCCTGGGATCATGACCTGAGCTGAAGGCAGATGCTTAACGGACTGAGCCACCCAGGTGCCCCTGAGTTTGACTCATTTTAAAAGAAAGGAAATAATTCCTAGCAGTCTCCCAACCAACTCCCCCACACCCCATATCATTGGCCAGAAGTGAATTGGCATGTCCACTCTTGAAAAACCATTGGCCAGGGGAATGGAACAATCAAGATTAACTAACACTAATTATGTGGGGCTGAAATAAATGTAAGGGTGTGCTTTAAGAAAATTTTGCCCAAGGATCAATGGTAATTAGTAGTTCTTTTTATAGTTCAGTGAACTGAAGATTGAGAACTCTAAGAAGCAAACATGAACCGGAAAGGCTTTTCAGCGAAGACACCCAACTTTCTATTCAAGATAACATTAAATAATCATTGAATATTACCTGTATTAGGTACTCAGATTTCTCTTTTGGTAAGATCTTTCTCTTTTTATTATGACAAATATTTGTTTAAAATTTCAAGAAGTCACCTTTACCTACTGCCATGTTAACTGAAGAATATGAAAAGAGATTGGACTGTTCAGTCTGTGAACATGATGTGAATACTTTTCCCTTGAGAGTAACTTCAAGAGATCTTTAAGGGTTATGTTCTGATACTCAAGATAATTGAAAAATAAAGAGTCCTAATTACAAATTTCCATTCTCCATTTGGGAACATGATAGTTTTCCTGTACTCTCTAGAACAGACATTTCAAAGTAATAAGCACTGAAAAGTTCTTATACCATAGGGCAAGATTTAAATGAAGGGTATTTTTTATGATTTTTCTCCCCCCTTCCTTGTTATAATATAACATGTGGAAATGGAATGGCCTACACCTTACTGAAACTTTCACTTAGTGATAATCTTACTAATAAGAAGGAGGGTAATCTTACTAAGTAAAGACTAAGACTTACTAAGAGAGTCTTAACATGATAAATAGCAAGCAAAATATACACAGGATTTTCCAAGAATACTTGTCACAGATGCATGGACCCCGCCAAGATATTTGTTACAGAAGAAAATGAGTTCTTCTTCTTTTCTTACATCTAAATAAATCATTTTTGTTGGAAGTTCATCTGGACATGAACTTCACTCATAAGGGCCCATCCAGACTAATAATGTGTTGCCAATGACAACCTCAGGAGATGTATCTTGTAATAATCTGCATTTCCTATTATCAACATTAGAGATTAAATACACTGCAACATTTTTTAGTTGCCATTTATGGTTTCAATATATATATTTTTTAAAGATTTATTTATTCATTTTAGAGAGAGAGAGAACAAGAGTGGGAGGGGCAGAGGGAGAGGGAGAAAGAATCTGAAGCAGACTCGAAGCTGAGCATGGAACCTGAAGCAGGGCTTGATCTCACAACCCTAAGATCACAACCTGAGCTGAAACCAAGAGCTAGCCGCTTAACTGACTGTGCCACCCAGGTGCCCCTGTGGTTTCAATATTTATAAACATGTACAAATTCTCTTTTTCTCCACCATGTTTCCTATCAGCACAACCTCTTGGAAGGAGTTTCATAAGTGTATTATTTTCAAAAGTCCTAATTTCTATTTGGCTTAATTCTATTTTAAAAGGATGATCACTCTTTTTAACTCTTTCTTTTTGGGGATTTATTAAACACGTTTTTGATAATGACACTACTCAGTCTTACTTTTTCCAGATTAGGGTCTAGTATTTATACTCTAAGCTCATATGGCAATTTTAGGAGCCCCTTGATCATTTTAGTTTCCTTCTTTGGACCTACTCTGTGTCTGTTAGCACTTTCCTTGAGTGCAGTCACTGTAGTTATACATGGTGTTCCAGAGGATTGATTTGCCTTTTATATTCATGAGAGTTTTCTTCCTTATTTTCCTTTATAGTAAACTTATTCTTCTAGTTGTACAGTTCTGTGAGTTTTGACAAATGTATACAGTCAAGATATAAACTATATCCATTACCTTAAAAAGTTACCTGTGCTCATTGATAGTCAATCTTCTATTGCTACTCTAGTTTTTGGTGATCACTGCTCTGATTTTTGTTCCTAAAATTTTGCCTTTTTCAGATGTCATATAGATGGAATCAAATAGTATTTAGTCTTTTGTGTCTAACTTCTTTCTCAGTTTTTTTGTATCTATCACGAAACCATTGTGAGATCTGTCCTTATTGTTGCCATGTATAACAATGTGTTGGTTTTTATTGCTGAGGAGGAGTACATTGCATGGCTATACCACAATTTCTTTATCCATTTAGTAGTTGATGGATATTTGGGTTCTTTTAAGTTTTTGGTGATTATTGATTTCTCTACTGTTTTTCTGTTTTCACTTTCATTAGCTTTTCCTCTTATCTTTATTATTTCCTTCTACTTTTTCTTGGTTTACTTTGCTCTACTTTTTTCTAGTGTCTTAAGGTAGAGGCCAGATTATTCTTTTCTTATTTTCTAATAAAAGAATTTAAAGCTATAAAATTTTGGGATGCCTGGGTGGCTCAGTCAGTTAAGCATCTGCCTTTGACTCAGGTCATGATCCCAGGGTCCTGGGATCAAGTCCCACATCAGGATCCTTGCTCAGCGGGGAGTCGCTTTTCCCTCTGCCTGCCACTCCCCTTGCTTGTGTATGCGTGCTCTCTCTCTCTCTGACAAAATAAATATATAAAATCTTTAAAATAAATAAACCTATAAAATTTTCTCTTAAGCATCGCCTTAGGTGCATCCCACAAATTTTTATATGGTAGATAATTTTCTTTCAATTCAAAATATTTCTAATAATGACTTCTTTTTAATCCATGAGTCAGTCACTTAGAAGGTTGTTATTTAATTTTCCAACATTTGGGGGATTTTCCAGATATCTTCCTGTTATCAATTTGTAGATTAATTCTACTGTTAAGATTTAACTTATTTTTAATTTGTTGATGTGTGAACCAGATTATGTTTTTTCTTGGTAAATGTTCCATATGCAGTGGGAAACAATATATATTATGCTGTTGTTGGGTGGAGTGTTCTATAAATGTCAACTAGGGCATGATGGTTAATAATGTTCCTAAGATATTTTGTTTCCTTATTTTCAGTCTATCAATTCTATCAATTACTAAAGGGTGTTGATGTTTCAACTATCAATGTGGATTTGTCTGTTTCTCCTCTGAATTATAATAGTTTCAGCTTCAGGTACTTTGAAGCTCTGTTATTAGTTACACATTGAGGATTGTTGTATCATTGCCATGTTGGTGAAATGACCCCCTTGATTATTATGTATCATCTTTAGTTTCGATAATTCCCTGATTTGTAGTCCAATTTTGTCAAATATTAATAGAGTCACTATAGATTTCTTTTTTTAAAAGATTGTATTTATTTATTTGAGAGAGAGAGAATGAGGGACAGAGAGCATGAGAGGGAGGAGGGTCAGAGGGAGAAGCAGACTCCCCACTGAGCAGGGAATCCGATGTGGGACTTGATCCTGGGGCTCCAGGATCATGACCTGAGCTGAAGGCAGTCGCTTAACCAACTGAGCCACCCAGGCGCCCCATGGCTTTATTTTTTATTTTCCTTATTTCTAATAAGATTGAGCCTCTTTTATTGTATTTATTGGCCATTCCGATTTTTTCTGATGTAACTAATTCCAATCTTCGGTCCATTTTCTTTTATCAAGCTTTTGTTTTACTTATTGATTTGTAGTCATTCCTTATGCATTTTAGATATGAGCTATTTTTTCATTGTATGTATTGCAAATATCTTCCCTCTGTCATTTTTTCTTTTTATTCTTTAGTAGTGTCTTTTGAATAACAAATGTGGAACAACAGTGGTAAGAGTGGTCATTCATGTCGTGTTCCTGACCTTAGGGGAAAAGCTCTCAGTTTTTCCTCATTGAAAATAATATTTGCTGTGGGCTTTTCATATATGGTTTTTATAATATTGAGGTATGTACCCTCTATCCCTACAATGTGAAGAGTTTTAATCAAGAAAGGATGTAGTACTTTGTCAAATGCTTTTTCTGCATCTATTGAGAGAATCATATGGTTCTTGTTCTTTCTTTTATTAATGTAGTGTATCACATTGATTGATTTGTGGATGTTGAACCACCTTTGCAGCCCAGGAATAAATCCCACTTGGTCGTGGTGAATAATCTTTTTAATGTACTGTTGGATCCTATTGGTTAGTATCTTGGTGAGAATTTTTGCATCCATGTTCATCAGGGATATTGGTCTGTAATTCTCTTTTTTGGTGGGGTCTTTGTCTGGTTTTGGGATCAAGGTAATGCTGGCCTCATAGAAAAAGATGAAAAATTTTCCTCCCATTTCTATTTTTTGAAAGAGCTTCAGAAGAATAGTATTAGTTCCTCTTTAAATGTTTGGTAGAATTCCCCTGGGAAGCCATCGGGCCCTGGACTCTTGCTTGTTGGGAGATCTTTGATTACTGCTTCAATTTCCTTACTGCTTATGGGTCTGTTCAGGTTTTCTATTTCTTCCTGGTTCAGTTGTGGTAGTTTATACATCTCTAGGACTTCATCTATTTCTTCCAGATTGTCTAATTTGCTGGCATATAGTTGCTCATAATATATTCTTATAATTGTTTGTATTTCTTTGGTGTTGGTTGTGATCTCTCCTCTCATTCATGATTTTATTTATTTGGGTTGTTTCTCTTTTCTTTTTGATAAGTCTGGCTAGGGGTTTATCAATCTTGTTAATTCTTTCAAAGAACCAGCTCCTAGTTTCATTGATCTGTTCTACTGTTCTTTTGGTTTCTATTTCATTGATTTCTGCTCTGATCTTTATTATTTCTCTTCTCCTGCTGGGTTTAGGTTTATTTGCTGTTCTTTCTCCAGCTCCTTTAGGTGTAGGGTTAGGTTGTGTATTTGAGACCTTTCTTGTTTCTTGAGAAAGGCTTGTATTGTTATATACTTTCCTCTTTGGACCACCTTTGCTGCATCCCAAAGATTTTGAACAGTTGTGTTTTCATTTTCATTTGCTTCCATGAATTTTTTTAATTCTTCTTTAATTTCCTGGTTGACCCATTCATTCTTTAGTAGGATGCTCTTTAGCCTCCATGTATTTGAGTTCTTTCTGACTTTCCTCTTGTGATTAAGTTCTAGTTTCAAAGCCTTGAAAATATGCAGGGAATGATCCCAGTCTTTTGGTACCAGCTGAGACCTGATTTGTGACCTAGGATGTGATTTTTTTCTGGAGAACATTCCATGGGCACTAGAGAAGAATGTGTAATCTGTTGCTTTGGGATGGAATGTTCTGAATATATCTGTGAGGTCCATTTGGTCCAGTGTGTCATTTAAAGCCCTTGTTTCCTTGTTGATCTTTTGCTTAGATGATCTGTCCATTGCAGTGAGGGGGGTGTTAAAGGCCACTACTATTATTGTATTGTTGTTGATGTGTTCCTTTGGTTTTGTTATTATATAATAATAACTTATATAATTGGCTGCTCCCATGTTAGGGGCATAGATATTTACAAGTGTTTGATCTTCTTGTTGGATAAACCCTTTAAGTAGAATATAGTGTCCTTCTTCATCTCTTATTATAGTCTTTGGTTTAAAGTCTAATTTGTGTGATATAAGAATTGCCACCCCAGCTTTCTTTTGATGTCCATTAGCATGGGAAATTTTTTTCCACTCCCTCACTTTCAATTTGGAGGTGTCTTTGGGTCTAAAATCAGTCTTTTGCAGGCAGCATATCGATGGGTCTCGTTTTTTTATCCAATCTGATAGCCTTTGTCTTTTGATTGGGGCATTTAGCCCATTTACATTCAAGGTAACTACTGAAAGATATGAATTTAGTGCTATTATATTGCCTGTAAGGTTACTGTTATTGTATATTGTCAGTGTTCCTTTCTGATCGATGTTACTTTTGGGCTCTCTCTTTGCTTAAAGGACCCCTTTCAATATTTCTTGTAGGGTTGGTTTGGTGTTCACAAATTCTTTTAGTTTTTGTTTGTCCTGGAAGCTTTTTATCTCTCTTTCTATTTTCAATGACAGCTTAGCTGGATATAGTATTCTTGGCTGCATATTTTTCTTGTTTAGTGCTCTGAACATATCATGCCAGTCCTTTCTGGCCTGCCAGATCTCTGTGGATAGGTCTGCTACCAATCTAATGTTTCTACCATTGTAGGTTACAGACCTCTTGTCCCAAGCTGCTTTCAGGACTTTCTCTTTTTCTCTGAGCTTGTGAGTTTTACTATTAGATGTCAGGGTGTTGACCTATTTTTATTGATTTTGAGGGGTGTTCTTTGTGCCTCCTGGATTTTGATGTTTGTTTCCTTCCCCAGATTAGGGAACTTCTCTGCTATAATTTGCTTCAATATACCTTCTGCCCCCCTCTGAGATCCCAATTATTCTAATATTGTTTCTTCTTATGGAATCACTTACTCTCGAATTCTGCCCTCGTGATCCAGTAGTTGTTTATCTCTCTTTTTCTCAGCTTCTTTATGCTCCATCATTTGGTCTTCTATCACTAATTCTCTCTTCTGCCTCATTTATCCTAGCAGTTAGAGCCTCCATTTTGGATTGCACCTCATTAATAGCCTTTTTGATTTTGACTTGGTTAGATTTTAGTTCTTTTATTTCTCCAGAAAGGGATTCTCTAGTATCTTCCATGATTTTTTCAAGCCCAGCTAGTGTCTTTATAATCATCATTGTGAACTCTAGTTCCAACATCTTACTAAAATCTGTACTGATTAGGTCCCTGTCAGTCGGTACTGCCTCTTGTTCTTTTTTTTTTTTTTTTTGAGGTAAGTTTTTCTGTCTTGTCGTTTTGTCCAGAGGAGAATAGATGAATGAGAGAACAAAATGCTAACAGGGTAACAATGACCCTAGAACTAAACAAATCAGAAGAGACCTGAAACTGGGGGGAAAAGAAAGGGAAAGAAAAAGAAAGAAAAAAAAAGAATATGATCAGGCTGGTGAATAGATCAGAGTCACACACTAGATTTTGGGCGTATTTTGGTCTGTTAGAAGAAATTGCCTCCCAAAATTTTAAAGAAAGAAAAACTTATATATGTACAAAAATAAGTGTAAATATGATGAAGGGAAGGAATATGACTGTAAAGATGAAAATTATAAAAGATTTTACCAAAGGAATTGATAAGATAAAAAGTTGGTTGAAAAAAGAAAGAAAAAAATTTTTAAAAACAAACAAACAAAAACGGAGAGAATGTGATCAGGCAGGAGATTAAAACAAAGCCATATTCTAGAGATTTAGGGTATATTTTGGTCTGTTAGAAGAACCTGTATCCCAAAATTTTAAAGAGAGAAAAACATATATATACAAAAAAATAAGGTTAACTACAATGAAGGGATAGAACGACTCTAAAAATGAAAATTAAAAAAGATTTTTAAAAAAAGAATTGATAAGATGTTGTTTGAAAAAGGGGAAAATTTTCAAAAAAAATAGAAAAAAAATAAAGAAAATTAAAAAAAAAATTAACTTTGAAAGACTAAAGAATCATGGGGAAGAAAGGCATGAATTCTATGTGCTGTATTCCCCTAGCATTGAAGTTTTGCAGTTCTCATTGATCGGTAAACATGGTCTTGGCTGGCTGTTCTTGATGATCTTCTGGGGGAGGGGCCTGTTGCAGTGATGCTCAAATGTCTTTGCCTGAGGCAGAATTGCACTGCCCTTGCCAGGGGCCATGCTAGGTAATCTGCTCAGGTTTGCTCTCGGTAGCTTTTGTTCCCTGAAAGCTTTAGAGGATGAGAATGAAAATGGAAGCCTCCCAATCTCCACCCCGGAGGAGCTGAGAACTCGGGGCCCCACTCGTCAGTTAGCCCCCAGAGAAAAGCAGTCAATCACTCCTGCCTCCCCTGTCTCCGGCCACACTCCGTGATCACCTGGCCTGTGACCCAGCGTTTCTATCTCTGGCACATGATCCCATTTGGAGTCTCCAAACCCAGCAGATTCCTGTGGTGCGCTCTGTGCCTCTCCTCCCAGGGGAGGAAGGGGAGTCTCCCAGGATCTGCCCCTTGTTGGGTCCCTGCTGGAGGAGTAGTGGCCTGACTGTGCTGCGGATAACGGTTTATGGCAACCTCGAGCTGAGAGCCCACTCCTCGACTCCATCTCTGCAGCTAGCTTCCCCACTCTGATACCTGGGATCTCTTCCACACTCAGGCACCCATGGTCTTTCTGTGACCCCCAGGGTCCTGAGACCACACTGTCCCAGTGAGGGTT